CCTATTCTCCACAGGCTTAATTCTGAAGAGATATGACAACTCACCCATTCATTGAAAGTTGACCTGTGGCTTTTCTAAATTTCACTTTAAAATTCAGGTGTGTGTTTTTTTTGCTGAACACTAAGAAATTCTCCAACAGTAACAGGTGGACCCAAGGTTCAATACTCACACCACTCAGAGTTACCACAATTCTGTCAAATTCAGAGCCCAGTTCTACTATACAACAATATCAGGCTCCAAAGATAGTTGTTTTGAAATGGAATATTATAACAAGAAAAATTATAAATTTTAAGTTCTTTGTTCCAGATTCTGGGGAAAATTACCATGTAAAAATTATTACACACACACACCATTAGTCTGAAATTTACAGAAACTTAATATGCAAAAGACAGATGAATCTAAACCCTGATTTTACAATGGCTACTACATTCTCCAAGGGCACAAATTTCAATTTTCTAAACATAAAGACAAATAGCTGATGTTTAATTTAATCCTACATTGTGATCTTGTAAGGAGAAGTGATTATACATGTTCCACCACAGCTGGGCTTTGTCTCCCATACCTGTATTCACACCACTCTCACAGGCTGAGGCAGCAGCAGCAAATTCAACTTCCAGCTACACATTATCGAAATTCAGTATCAAAACTAAAAAGTAATATTAAAAAATGAAAAATGGATGTGATGTATTGCAGAACAAATGAACTGAATTCAGTCAGAAATAAATTTCCCAATGACACATGGAAAGTGCTGTTCACCTAATTTTTATTCTACAACAATGCCAGACATACTTTTCTAAGTTCCAATTTTGTCTCATAAGACCTTAGGTCAATGGATACTTGTAACAAAAGTCCTGTGGGACCCTAAAAATCTGATCCCAAGACCCTTAGCCTAACTGACTCCATTTTAAACTAAAGAGCCATCTGGTGTCAGCCCTGCCCCCCCCCAATGAAACCAAACAGCAGGAATTTGCTTAGTTTACTTGGTTGCGATAAGAGCAGAGACAAACGGGTGGGAGAAAAGCCTCTCCGGCCTCAAAGAAGAACAGGAGGTTCTGTAGAGATAAGGAGAGCACACCACATTCCTGAGCGCACTGATCTCTTCCTGGACTAGCCCTCTCCCCAGCCTGAGTAGTTTTCTTCCCGCTTTCACAAGTGCCCCGGTAACATCCAATAGGTTTAGAATATTAGAAGAGAAGCCAATAGGATAGAGAAAATTTCAAGCCACCCTAACCCTATAAAAATAGGCTGAATAAGTGGGTCAGGGCTTCCAGTTTGTAGCCGCTGCATCAGTGACAATCGAGGTCCAGGCTCGAGCTTGTAATAAACTCCTCGTGTATTTACATCAGAAGAGACTCTTGGTCTTCTTGGGGATTTGGCAACTTGGGCAGAACAGTCCTATCAGTCTGACTTTAACTAAATTTCTTAGTATTTTTCAGGCTTCTGACCTTTGAATCACAGCATTAGAAGACAAAATGGTAAATTATGAAAATTAACCTAGGAAGCCACTAAAGAATAAGAGGACAAGAAAATACAGTCCAGTAGTTACTGCAGAACACTGAAAAGACCAAGCAAGCTAAATGGAGATAAAGAAAAGCTACAACATAACACAGATGCAATTATCTTTACAGAAATTATCCCAGAAAATTTCCCAAATATGAGAAAAGATTTTGAAATACAGGTGAGGTTTCCAGAACACCAAACAAATGATGAAAAAATGCTCAGCAAGATACGTTCTTCCTAAATTGCCAATCACCCAATAAAAAGATCTTTCAAAGCCATCACAGAAAAACATCAAATCATATATAAAGATACATCCATTACAATTATAGCAGACTTCTCAATACAAAACTTAAAGGCCAGAAGAACTTGAAGTGAAGCATTTCACGCCCAGAGAGCAAATAGCTTCCAACCTAGTTAACATGCCCTAAGGATATTTCATGAAAAAGACCAGAAGAAGAGATATGACTATGGAACCAGCACTCCAAAACATACTCAAGAATATCCTACCCAGAAATGAGGTCAATAAAACTAAGAATTCCAATAAAATGAAAACATCAAGAAAGGTCAATACATAAACAACAATAAAACAACAGCCACAAAAGACAGGAAAATAAAAACAAAGGAGTTACCTCCAAAAATGAGTAAAATAATAGTAAATAATAAACATATCTCAGTAATATCTACAAAAAAAGCCTCAACTCTCCAATTAAAGACACAGATTGGCAAACTAGATAAAAAACGGAGTTTAACAATTTGTTGCATGAAAGAATTTCATCTAATCCAAAGAGACTAACAATCAAAGGATGGAAACAGTATTTCATGCACCAAGACCCCCCTCCCCAAAGTAGCACTAACAATTTTAATCTCAGATATGGGCAACTTTAAGTTAAAACTGCTAGAATAGACAAAGAAGGTACTATACACTAGTTAGGGGAACAATCCAACAAGAGATAGTATTTATAAATATACACTAGCGCACCTATCTTCATAAAAGGAACACTGCTGAACAAAAAAGATCTAATAAATAGCAACACAATTATAGTGGGAAATCTTAACACCTCACTTGCACAAAGAGATAGAATAAAGAAAAAAAAATCAAAGGGCTGGGGATTTAGCTCAGTGGTTCTGCTGCCTGCCTTGCAAGCAAGCGTAAGGACCCAAGTTCAATTCCCAGTACCCCCCCAAATTAAATTTCATCATTCAAGAAAAAAATCAAGAAAGAAATATCAGCTGAGCCACAACCCTGAACATAGGGCCATAATAGATGTGTACAGAATATTTAACCCCACTACAACAGAGTATACATTCTTTTCAGCAGTACATAGGACTTTCTCCAAGATAGATCTAGTGGTTCACAAAGCCTGATTAAATAAATATAAGAAACACAAAAGTCAGCCCATGTGTTTCATCAGACTAGTGTGCAATGAAAATATAAATCAACCACAGAAGAAAGAGCAGAAGATGTAGAAGCAGCTGGAAGATTAATAACACACCACTAAACAACCAATGGGTCACAGAGAAATCAAGGAAGAAATTTAATACTTTCCGGAAATTTAATAACAATGCCTGTACAACTCATCAGAACCTCTGGGACACTATGAAAACAGCCTAACAGAAAACATTTTTTACAATCAATGCTGACATAAAAAATAACCTTATGCTCAAATAAGTAACCTTATGAGACATTGTAAAATACCTGAGAAACAACAATAATTCAGGGCCTAATTGTAATTAAAAAAAATGAAGATTCCAATGAAAAATCAATGAAACTGAGATTAAAACAATACAAAGAATTAATGAATTGAAGATCCAATTTTTTGAAAAAAATAAACAAAGATAAGCCTTTAGTGAAACTTACCAAAAGAGAAAATATTCACATCTTTGCAATTAAAAAGGAAAAAGACAAAATCATGACAGCATCAAAATCCAGAAGATAGTAACTACTATGAAAAATTGTACTCCAACAAATTAGAAAATTTTGAAGAAATAGACAGTTTTCTAGACTCATAAAAATTACCAAACGTAACCCAAGAAAAAACAAATATGCTGAACAACTCAATAGCAAGCAATGGAATCAAGACAGTAATAAACAGTTTACCAAATAAAAAAAGCCCAGACCTGACGGATTCAGTCTACATTTCACAAAGACTTTAAGGATGTGATGTCACCACCTATACTCATGCTCTTCAAAGAAACTGAATGGCGCGGAGGGCTTTCAAATTATTTATAGCAATACAATTGTTTATTATATAGCAATATAATTATTTAAACCCTTAAGCTTAAAACACCCAGGCTCTTATTAGCTCCTATTTGTCCAGAAACAAGTGGATCCGCAACTCCTCCCAACAGGTGATACTTTATATTTAAATATAACCACAATGTAAGCCACCACAAAATATACATATATCTCGTTCACAGTGTTTATACTGTTATGCTGTTATGTTAGCTTTAGTGTTCATAACATATGTTTTTTTTTAACGTATGCTTTTTTTTGTTAGCCCTAAAGTCCTGTTT